ATATGTGTTTTCTGATGGTCTTAGGCAACCCCTGTGAAAGGGTCGTTCAACCCCCAAAGGGGTCACGACCCACCAGTTGAGAACCACTGGCTTAGATGATTTTCTGTAGCAATACACTTGAAAATGGCTATTATATATCTGGCAAGATATATGAAGTTTAATTATCTCTTTTGTTATTGAATTCTTGATTGAGACTATTGTGATCAGAGACTATATTTTGAGTGATTTAAATCCTTTAAAATTGGCGAAGGCTTATTTTAATCAATTAAGGCTTCTTATAGAGAAGAGAATCAACTTTGATACATACTCCATGTGCATTAGAAAAGAGTATGTATTCTATTTTATTGAGGGGGGGTAAAATGTTACACATATGTAAATTTGATAAAAATATTGTGTTAGTCGTATTTTTTCTACATTTCTACTGAGAAAGTGTGTTAATGTCTACTACTCTGGTTGTATACTTGTTTATTGATTTTTATATAAATGAACAAATTTTATTGATTAACTCTACTGCTTCATCTTTGATATAATTTGAAGCTATGTTATTAAGTGCATATAGAAATAGTATTGTCCTAGCTTCCTGGTAGATTGTATATGTAATCATTTTGAAATATTGCTCTATATTTCTAGTAGGTTAGAAGTTCAGGTAACCACCTGGACATAGCAATTGGCATCCTGAGGTGAAGGGCATTGTTGCAACCTCCACTTTGTAGCTGGTGGGTCAGAAGCACAGGTAACAATCTAGGCTTGGGACTGGCATCTGAAGTGGGGTGGGAGGCAGTATTGCAGAACTGAGCCCCAAACCAATGGGATTTGATGCTATCTCCAGGTAGATAATGTCAGAATGGAGCTGAATTGTAGGATACCAACTGTTGTCTGAAGAATTACTTCATGTATGGGGAAAACCGCTGCCCTATTCCTTCACATACATGTTGAAATTGAGTCCAGTAACCTCAAAAGATTGAGTTGAACAGTTATAAAATCTAGAATAAATCAAGCATATTGTTCAAATACTGTCTTTCATATGTTGTTCCATGGGAAGAATTATGATGTTATCTGAAAGTATGGCTTTTACATGTGGTCCTATGTGGTCTCTGAGCCAGCTGTGAGAGAGTTCTTCCTAGAATAAATTCAACAGCTTCCTTTCTTGATCTTATCTTACACATTTCAACAACTAGTTTGCTAAGAAGTGTCTAGGTAAGGTTTGTAATTCTTTTAGAATATGGCAATAAGCAATTGCCTCAGGTTGAGTTCTGTTTATTTGTGAGGCTCATCTATCTTTTTATTTTTTAAAAATATATTTTATTGATTTTTTACAGAGAGGAATGGAGAGGGATAGAGAGTAAAAACATTGATGAGAGAGAAACATTGATCAGCTGCCTCCTGCACACTCCCTACTGGGGATGTGCCCGCAACCAAGGAACATGCCCTTGACCAGAATCGAACTTGGGACCCTTGAGTCCACAGGCCAATGCTCTATCCACTGAGCCAAACCAATTAGGGCATATTTTTTTTTTAAGTGCACTCTCTGAGACAATATAAATATGTTGTAGAGCAGCGGTTCTCAACCTGTGGGTCGCGACCCCTTTGGCGGTAGAATGACCCTTTCACAGGGGTCACCTAAGACCATCTTGCATATCAGATATTTACATTACAATTCATAACAGTAGCGACATTACAGTTATGAAGTAGCAACGAAAACAATTTTATGGTTGGGTCACAACATGAGGAACTGTATTTAAAGGGTCAGAAGGTTGAGAACCACTGTTGTAGAGTCTTCTAACTGGGATGGTGATATGATGAACTTGATAAATTTAGTTGCTTTCTGGAAGTTCACAGAATATTGACCCTATGTTGCATTGGTTTCTGCATTTTTGTGCTAAGAAATGTGGAAAATCGTCTCACCACTGGGAGGCCTTTGTACCAATACAATACATAATATACAACCCTGGTGTCATATAAATAGTCTGGCTCCACAGTTTAATCCTCCTGCCTCAATGTTGTTGGATGGGATTGAGTGACCTTCTGGGATATGCCAGATCCTGTAGACATAAGAAATAACCAGATTGATCCCCAGAGCTCACCTTAAGGAAGTTGCCAAAAATTTCTTGTCAGGTTACAGTTAAATTTTAAGTCAAGGAAGAAAGACTCAAAATCTGGTTCCTTTCTACTTCTTTCTTATTTTCCTGGAATGTTTGTTACAGTTGGCCATTGTGCATCCCCTGTGTCTCTCCTCACCATCTCCCCTGAATCCTAGCGTGTCCTAGGCCTCATTATCAGCAACTGTTCCTGTCAAGGAAAATAGAGGTCATCAGTGCCCATAATATGCTGAAAAGAGGTGTTTTTTTTAGCACCTCCATCTCTAAGAAAATAGTGCATGCCCTGGGCTTGGGACGTGTATTATTCAATTTTGTGTAAAGCTCCATTTAGAATTGTTGGAGATGAGCAATGCAGCTGTCTCAGAACAAAAAATTGTTTTGGTGGGGATGAGTGGGATGAGTCATTAAATCATGTCCTACTTATAATTGCATAGACTATGTTGAGTCACTAGATGTGTTTAAGATAGTCTTTATCCTAATAGGGGGTGCTCAATTATTCTCCAGAAATGTTGCCCATGTCAATTTATTCTCAGATTCAGATTTACATTTAAAGAATAATTCCTATGTTTTCCTTCCCAAATGAAGAAAAGATACATTAAATAAAATGCAGGTAAGGCTCTGTATCCTTGTATGGGAAAGAGATAAATTCTTACACATAACATTTCATGGTAAAACTAGAACCCATACATGCTCTTTTTTTTGGCCTCTTTCCTTCTGAATACATGTCTTCAAACACTCTCCTTTAAAGTGTACTCTCTTTTCTGATTTATTTAGGCTTCTTGTTATGATCTAGGTAACATTTCACTAGGACAAAATAAAATTTCCATTCTGTTCAATGTTATTTGCACTGGACTAAGCTATAATAAAAGACCATGTCTATGATGAGATATTATATCCCATGATTCCAGGTCATTAGCTAGTCTGTTAGATTAGGAGAAAAAGATCCCTTTTCTCTACTCTCACCTCCAGTCCATCATGCTGCCAACTAAAAGAAGAAATTCTGAAACCACCATACCAGGTTGATGACTCCCACAATTTTATTTAGAGAACTTGGGCACTCTTGAAATGAACACTTATGATTAAAAATAAAAATATTACCTACAATTCACTGAGCATTAACGTGTTCTAGGAACTTCGTGGACATAATCTTACTTAATTTTCCTCTTGTGGAAAAGGTGAATCTTGAGAGAAATTGTTACCCCTCCCTTCCTATTTTATAGAGGGGAGATAGAAATAGAGGTCCAGAAACCTCCTTAAGATCACAGAGCTAGTAAATGGCAGACATGGGATATAATAGCTTTCTAATTTAGGAGAATGAACTTTGATTACCACGTACTACTTCTTGTTATCTCTCCTAACCTTATGCTTCTCTTTCTTTTATTTTTTCATTCCAAATTAAAACAGAAGAATTACTTAACTATGGAGTTAACAGAAGTGTTACAGATTATCATGAGGTCTAGAACCTAAACAATTTTATCCACCTTATTTTTATATCGATTTTATTGAACATAAGTTCTATAACATGTAAAATGTTTGACAAATTCATATACCTGTGTAACCACTACACAGATTGATATGCAATTTTTATTGCCTTATAAGCTTCCTAGTAATTAACCCCTGGCAACCATAACCTGGTTTTTGTTGCCATGGATTAGATTTGCCTTTTTCTGAAATCTCATCTATATAAATTATTTAGTAGGCACTCTTGTGTGTCTAGTTTTTTTCTTTCAGGATAATGTTTGGAAATTTACCCATATTGATAGAGAAACAAGCAGTTTATTTTTGTTGCTGAGTAGTATTAAATATTATGATTATACCAGTTCCTTTATTTATTTACAGACTTTTCTGTCATACCCAACTTGCTGTTGGAGCACATTAATAAATTTTTCAGTCATTACACTCTTCAGTTCTAAGATTTCCACTTTTTATTTATGGTTTAATTTCTTTGCTGAGATTTTATTTCTGTTCACTTATTAAGAAAATATTTTCCTAAATTTTAAAATATATTTTATTTAGTTTTTGCACATATTTATTATAGGTGCTTTAAAATGTTTGCCTGCTAAATTAGATCAGTTGAGCCATCCCAGAGTCAGTTTCTATTTGCTTTTTTCTTGACTATGACTCATATTTTCCTAATAATTTTTGGTTGTGTAATGAAGATCAATGACTATAATTCCATTTGTGAATTTTAATAAAGAAAGAACATATTTTCCTCTTTGCCATTCTAAATTCTTAAAAACAAACAAACAAACAAACACTTGCTGAGCCTTTACTATAAATGCCAATGTTGTGCTGGGTTTGACATAGGGGAACAACTGAGGAGTGTTATTGACCACAGCGTATCTGGGCAAACTGGTAAGAAAAGGTATTGTGTAGGTAACTCAGAGTACCCCAGACAGAACTGAAAATCAATCAGAATAAAGTACAGTGAGAAGGAAAGGAAAAGTCAGTCTAAAAATGCAAGTACTTTTCAATTAATTTCTATAATGTAGATATTGAAGATCATGGAAAAAATATTATTAGAGAGCCCTCCAGGTAAGTGACATTAGCCATGTACCAAGTTCAATCATGATACCCAAAAATGAACAAGGCAGAAAACTTATTTTTATTGTTATTGATTTTTTTTCATTAGCTCCCTAACCACAAACTGTGGATACCTTGCAGAAGAAATAGAAGTTATTTTCATTTTTAGACAGGAATACATCCATAAAAGTAGTTCACATATGTAGCTTAAGTCATATCATAATTCACTTTGGTATTTGAAACTGAAATTTATTTGATTCAATTACATAAATACCTACCCAGCAATTATATAGTTTTAAAAAAACAAGTTAAGTTAGATATGAACTTAAAAGATGGTCCACTTTTTGCATTTTATTTTAAAGCAATTGAATTTCCCTCAGATTTCTCTTTTTTCATAGGTGAGCCTTCTGGTAAGTGCCCTAAGGGTGCCCTGTGCTAAGAAAGCATCTGTGGCCCAGCTTCAGGTTTGAGTACAGCCTTCGGAGGCCTGAGCATCACTGTGCTGCTACTGCACAGAAGTAGGTGCCTGAGTGACTGGGCTGGGAGGCTGTGATGTACAGGGAGCTCTGCTGCTTTTTTTCATCCAATGTGGCAGTTATTTTGTCATGACTCTCTTCTCCAGTTTTTCTTAATATCATCAAGAAGATGGGACCTTCACCTTGCTTCTGCCAGTACCAGTGCAGGGAATACGAAGGCTGAGAGGATTTACACTCGATGGTAACCTCTTCCCCCTCTTGAATGATCAAGGACTGAGGACTCTGCTGCACTTCTTGGCTTCTCACACCTGATCAGAAAAACAATTTAAGGACACAGGAAACCCACATGAGATGCTCGGTCTCAAAAAAGGAAGGGCAATCTTCTTTCCTCCTTCCTTACTCAAAACATAAACATCCCCACATAATTATAGAATATGTATGGTTTTCATAACAGCCCTCCCCAGGTCAGAAAGACAACCCAATTTCTGCCCTCTGGCTGCTGTCACCATTTAAGCCTTTCCTAGGCTGACCCGGTACTCACAAGCCAATCGCCACAACAGAGCACCTAAAAGCACTTTCGGGAGAGTATCCATCCCTTGGCTCCCCAGCAAATCCAACAGACCCTGTCAGATTCTGAATGGGCTTCTTCAGCAAGAATGACTTTGAGCTCAGAGCGAGGTCTGTTGCAGTTGTGTCTAGAATACTGAAACTTAGGGAGACAGCCAATCAGAGACATCACAGCACTTTCACCCTTTACAGAGAACCATGTGCATCTAGAATACAGTGCCCTCCTCTGGCAAGGCTGAGAATTAAAATTTGGGCGTTCTTGAATAAGTTTCCATCCAATATATGTCTTTTTATTTATTTAGAATACAGTGCCCTCCTCTGGCAAGGCTGAGAAATAATTAAAATTTGGGCGTTCTTGAGTAAGTTTCCATCCAATATATGTCTTTTTTTTTTTAATTTAAGGAAAGGCCTATCAATATACTGTATTAGAGTACAGAATTACTCTAGGATTCAGAGAAAAAGATAAATCAAGGGGAAAATAGTTAACATTTTATTATACCATTTGCTTCTTCAGATCACTTTAGTGCATATCAGTGCCTTCAAGATAATGTACAAGCATCTTATAATGGTTCAAAATTATTTTTACAAAGTGATGTCTGCATATTGTTCTAGTTTTGTTTTCTGTTGCCCATTTTGAGTTGTATGCTCCAGCCATTTTGAATTAGCTTTAATGTCATTTTCTTACACTAAATCTTGACTATACCTTTGTGCATTCTGTTTCTGTTTTCCTATAATATTTTCCCCTTACTCTATTTTTCACTAATTCTACTGTGAGTCTAACTTAGATATCACCTTTTTTAGGTAGCCTTTCCTTTTATTCTGTTTCCAATTTAGATGTCTCTATTAGATGGTCATGGTTCACTTTTCTCCTGTGATAGCTTTGATTACAATATTTTGTTATATATTCCCACAGTATTACATGTTTCCTGAATGCAGGCACAATGTCCACTTGCTTATAGTTGCATCTCCTATATTTGAGCCCAAATCACATATTAGGTGTCAAATAAAAAAATTATTAGAAGAATCTCAAGAGAAAACACATTTGTAACTTCACAAAAAATTATTATTATAGCTCATTTGTAAAATAGATATGGCTACGTTGCATTGTTGGTTTAATTATTATTATAGCTCATTTGTAAAATAGATATCATGGTTACGTTGCATTGTTGGTTTGAGAAATATCTATAAAGTGCTGTGATGTCTCTGATTGGCTGTCTTAGACAAAGCCACAGTGGCTGCAAGGGCTGAGGGCTGGCCACAACAGCTGTGAGGGCTGGTCCAGTGCTGAAGTCCCTTTTGCAGAGGCTGCGGTGCTGTGATGTCTCTGATTGGCTGTCTCCCTAAAAGGGTAATATGCTAATTAGGTCAGGAGACCTTCCATATGTCGTTCCAGACAAAGCCACGGCAGCTGTGAGGGCTGGTCCAGCACTGAAGTCCCTTTTGCAGAGGCTGCAGGAGGAGGCACCCAGGGAGGAGACA